ACTTTAAAAAATCGACGTTTGTACTGGCATCGAAATTTTCTTGTTTTATCAACAACAAATAATTGGTTAATTAATTAGAGCTAGATAACAAGCCACATAAATCTTTTTATTTTATTATTATTAATTAAAATAGTAATGTGGAATACCATATTGATGTTACTTTAAATTTTAATATAATCAATATATTTTTTCAATTATAATAAATATTGCTATTGAATCAAATAATTGTATACATTTTTTTGGATATGCTACCTGAAAATTTCTGATCTTTGGAATGAATTGAGCAGACGATAAGCAGTAAGTTAGTTTTTGAATATAATTTCTATCTTTTATTAAATTAAAAATGCCATTAAAGTGTATAGTAAAAAATTGTAATGGGACATATAAAGACCAAAATATATCTATGCACAGGTAATAATATGATCTTAATAATATTTTTATATCATTTGTATATTTTATGATTCACTTGACCTCTCTCCATGGATTAATAGATATAAATTTCAATAATTCATTTTTGACAAAATGCAATATGCATTACAGCATTCCTCAAAAATCACCTATAAAAAGTCAGTGGATCAATGCATTGAATGGTAGGTGTAGAGGTTTTGAAAGAAAAAGATCATATATATGTAGTAAACATTTTGATTCAAAATCCTTTTCAAAGTCAAATAAAAAAGTCAGAAAGATGCCTTCCCAACAGTATTTCCTGGTGTGGTATTTGAAAAGGCAAAAACCAAAACAACACAAACTGAGGCAATTAATTTAGTATTTATATATAATAAACAAAGGATTGCTGAAGCAATATTGATTAATTCAAACCAAATATTAATATACAACACAATAACATTGGCATTTGCCGGCTTACTATCAGATATTTAACAAATAAAACGATAAGGATTTGGTCATTTTCTTATTACATTTTATAAAATGCTAATTTTGATTCTAATGGAAAATATGTTGTTTTTGTATTATGGGTTTATTATTATTATTAGGATGCCTTTGTTAAAATGGCTTTTTGTCATAAGAAATACAGAATATAAAGAGTTTCATTACTTTATTGGGCATATATATATATATATATATATATATATATATATATATATATCAGTGATGACGAGTACTTAAGTACATTTGTACTTAAGCACGTACTTAAGTACAAATGTAGTACTTAGGCGCTTATACTTAAGTACATATAAAAGCCTGTACTTAAACACTTATACCTAAGTACATTTTTCAGTACTTGTACTTATAAGTAATAAATTTTTCCTGTAAGTACCAGAAAAATTTTAAGCAAAAATAACATAATGTCAACATTTAAAAATTGAAAACTGTGATGAAAACACACACACACATTTTCACATTGACATTCTTGTTTATCTCTCTTATCAACATTTGTTCTTGTTTAGTCATGGATAGCGGGATGTTAAGATAACCATTGGCTAATTGAGTCATTAAAAGGTGGTTAACTCACATCACTCTGACATCTATATATCTATATCATAGACTCTACATGATCTATATACACATGCACGCTATATATAGTAGTTATTATATATATATATATATATATATATATATATATATAACAATCCTTATAAATATATGTGTTAAAGTGTTTTTGTTCACATTTTAAATATACGTGTTCCGAATCACGATCGAATGAAAAAGTTGAAGGACTGCAATATCTTAGTGATCCTTCATATGATATGGAACAACTCAAAAGGTAATCAATATTTTTCTGTAATATATTATATATGTATAATATGTATATGCTTGATTTTCTAATACATTTTTATTCTCAAGTATTAATAACAAATTAATAATTTGCTATTTCGGTTAACAGCTATATTATTGTTCCTTAGGTATCCTGCTGTCGCACAAGTGTTTTTGAAGTACAATACCACTGTGCCATCATCAGCACCTGTGGAACGTATATTTAGCCAGGCTGGAATGATTCTCACTCCTAAAAGAAATCGTTTAAGTGATGAATCATTTGAAACTTTACTTTTACTCAAAAAGAACAAACTCTTTTATTGATGTAAATAAATTAATGTAAATAATGAGTTGATTTCTGAGTTTAATAAATTTATAAATATTTCAAATTAACCATGGTATGTACTTAGGTACTTATTCTCAGTATCAAGCATACAATTTGCTTAGGTACTTAGTACTTATACTTAAGTGCTTTTATTACTTAGTACTTATACTTAAGTACATTTTTTGAGTACTTACGTCATCACTGATATATATATATATGTATATATATATAAACTTTTAAATGCAGCTATTTACTTTCAATTTAAAACCATTTTTAGATGTTTTGCTCAATGGATGCCCATCTCATCAAGCAACAGGAAAGGCAATCAAAGTATTATTAGTCCAGAATCACACTGCTGCCGGCAACAATAAGAAAACTTATGAGTGAATGCAATAAATTAAAAAATGAATTAGCTACATACAAAGGTTTTATGCTATATAACCATAGCAAAATGAATTGAAATTTTGACTAACTTTTTTTTTATT